TTGACTTTCCATTCACCGGGATTTTCTGACTCAAACTGGTTCTTTTTCCATCAACTAACTTCAGCAAAGATCAACTTGAGCCTTCAGATTGCATCAATCCTTTCTTTCAGACAGACTAGACGTGCAAGTATTCAAACTTAGTCTTATTAATTGATATATTAGGTATCATTTGCACCTTTTTACAAAGGTGTGTTTGAACTAAGAATCTGATGTTTCCTTCAGGCTGTGGGTCTGCTGAATATCAAAATGTACCATAGCTTCATATTTTTATTTCTCTTCTCTTTACTGCATAAGCTTTAACCCTTTTCCTATACCAACTGTATGCGTGTGTGTGTGTGTGTGTGTGTGCGTCTGTGCGTGTGTATGTGTATGTTAGACTAGTTTAAGTGTTTATGTTGTTAATAAAGTTTTACTTGTATCACACCTGACGTTGTTCATTGTTTGCTCATAACTGGAGTCCCTTAATCATGCAGATTTATGCTACAGGCTCTGTGTAGAATTGTACAATAAGAAAGTTATTTCCCTTAACTAGGAAATTAACGTTCTTAGAATTGACAGACAGTTGACCCTGAGAGGTCAAGTAAATATCTACAGTGGATCTAAATATTTATATTTATAATGAATTATAACTAGTTATGATTAATTATTCATATTTCCCCCTTGAGCTGATTCGCTACAGAATGGTGGAGAATGCAGGTATGATAAAACACAGGTTATGAACTTAAACACTGTCAACCTAAAAGTGTGTGCTTCATAGTCCAGGTTAGAATAGGGCGTGACCTGAGATACGCTGTTGTGTCCCTATTTGCTGGCTTGTTTAAATGCAGATAAAGTAGGGGCTTGAATTAGTACCTCTATTATGATTGAAAGAGTCTTTATGATTGGAAGAGTCTTTATGTATTTCATGCTTAATGGTATCAGTGTAAGGTTAATCTGATTTTAGCGAAGAAACCCTAATTTCAGTATTAAAGCATAAATCTGTTCTGACGAAGCATAAGTCTGAATCTCAGCTCAGCAGCATGTCCAAACTGTACCATAATGTATTAATCTGTTTTAGTGAAGAAATCACAAAATTGCAGTATTGTTTAAATTGTTTCTGAAGAATATCAAGGTAGATTTGAGTGATGCTCCTCTTTCTACAGCATAAAGGCCTTATAGATTATAATTAGATTGAAGCAATTAATCTACTGTCACGAATCCGGTCCATGAACTTCCTTCTGTTAGCCATCAGAGGTCACCCTTTCCAATTTCATTGACTCTCGCACTGCACATCACCCCGGACTACATATCCCATCATTCATTGCACTGATTGCACTCAGCATGGATTGCACACAGCTGTTAACACTGATTGCACCCAGCTGTTTCATATCACTCCCTCACTATTTAACACTCACTCTGATCCCTTCCCTCGGCCGAGTATTGTTCAGCGATTATCACTCCCCTAGCGATAGCTACACTACAGAGCCCTCAGTCGTTTCCCAGCCTTAGCCTTAGCCTTAGCTGTTTTCTCGGTTTCTGATCTTCGCCTGGTTTCCTGGATTTCTCCCTTAGTCTTGCCCCTTCTGATTCTGTCTGCAGTTCATCGACCCACGCTAGCCCTAGGA